GTGATACCCCCTGTGCCAAAAAACAGATATGTGAGGGGGCATGAACAGAATGTATGATCAATTAGTGTTCACATAGGGTTTATACAATAACATGAATGCCTGTACATAAGTCCTGCATTTAAAACCCCACAGTAAAAGCAAGTCTCAACAAAATGTTCTTAAAGTATCCAACCTGAAAGTACTCATTGTGCAGAAAAATGTCCCCGCTAAGTGATGAATTATGTATGACATTATTATTCATACTACTGCATCACACATGTAAGCAGCATTTTACTGCTGTAGCTGGTTTTAAGTTAAGATAGTTTTAACTACTCAACATACAGTTCAGTATTTTAGCCCAGTGGTTCTTAATAGGGTAGGAAAGAATAACCAAACAAAGCAATGTTCTGCATAACATATTAGTCTGTATGATAAAACCATTTGAGAAAAGACATGAAAGGGGAATTCTTTGATGGAGCTGCAAACAAAAAATATCAGAGGAACTTCTGCTTTAATCTTTAAAGATGCACTGTAATTTATAAAATTAAATTAGATTTTATGTCAAATCTTAATCTGAAAGTAACTAGTAACACTGTGAAACAGATATAGTGGAGTAAGGGGGAATGTACGCGTATAGTTTTCAAAAATCAAAAATAAAAGAATAAAAATGGTCATTGACTTGCACTCTAAATGTTTCCAGGATTATTTCCTGTAGCTGAAATTACCTTGGACCCTAATTGCTCTGTTAATGGAGTTTCACAGACAAGGTCAATAAGCTTTACAGTGGCAGTATTTAGCTAATGCTTTTCTGTTTCCATTAGATTGTGCAGTTGCTCATTTAAATGCGTCCTCCCCGTAGTTCTGCATAACAACTGTGTACAGTATAGTGCTGCAGACGATAATTGCAAGCAAATGCAAATGAGCCACTAAATAACCAACAGCAAACAGCTGTGGATGGAAGGTCAGCTTCAAGTTCTGTAACTGAATGTGATAAAAAAAAAAAAACACCTTGTGTTGCTTTTTGATTTCCAAATAACCTCCTCCTGTGAAAACTCAAGATATCACCTCAAAAGCTTGTTGACTGACTAAAGAATTATGATTATCTCGCCAGGAAAGTTAAAAAAAAAGGCTTTTTGAAGTCTCATGTAGAGTCCATAATAATAAGGGACTGTAAGAAAATGATTGGCATAAGAAAAGCAGTCAAACTGTCTGTATTTTCAAGTTAAATATCTAAATGGAATAATAATTGTTACATAGAGCATATTGCACATTAGGGGTAGAATTAGTCAAAAATCAAAAACATAAGAATTGTGCTTCCTGTTGGCAGTGCATTTCTACTAAAAAGCTTATTACCATAGTCACTGAATAAGTGAAGAGGGCACAGACTTTTTTTGCCCTTGCCCATATATTAGTAGAACAGGTTGGGTTGTTCTGAACGTGCATTATATCAAGACATTGTATAAATCAATGTTTATGCTGTTTTATAATCTACATCCTAGTGCCATTTTGCATCTTAACAATACAACACACGCAGTTGCTTTTGGCACATTACCCACAATTAAGATTCAGTTTTGGCCCTCCAAGGGAAATTTTGGCCACCCCTGCTATATATGATACATTTAACTTTACTGCAGTTATGTTGTGATTCAGAATAAAGTGTTGGCTGGTAAATAAATGGCACATTCTCTATTTAACTGTAAAGATCCACATCTACTGTAAAAACTGACATTACTGTTCTACTATTATGCAGTATTATATTAGAAGAAGAAGAAGAAGAAGAAGAAGAAGAAGAAGAAGAAGAAGATATACTATTATATGATATTCGAATATTTTTGTCAATAAAAGAAATGAAGAGATGAAATAGAAATTAAAAAAACTCATGACCCCCCCACCCACATGCCTATCAGACTCTCCCCTTTTCTGACACCATCTGCCCTCTCAATAGGTTCTGTTCAGTCCCTAGCCAAGAATACATTTTGTAAAGATGGTTGTAATTGAGGAAAGTCTATTTATGGGGCTTGTGTGGTGGTAAAAACATCTCACATACCCACATAATCATGTTCACTTAAAATTCATCACCACATGAAGGTCACTCTTCCTGAATGAAACACAGCAAGTCATCTGCTTGAATGCCACTTTTACTCTCATTGAAAAAGAGTCACTATTTCTATTTCGAGATCATACTACAAGATTACGACACAGCATTGACTCCTCAGCCGGCAGTGCATCCATGGATATTGAAATCAGTGTTACAGGGTACATACATACATGGCAGTGCTTCCTCTGCTGTGATGCTTTATACAGCCAATGGGGGAAGGAGTTTCCTGGGATTCTCCTTTCGTCGTACAGGAAACGACAGACAAATTTGGTTTGAACATGTTGAGCCAGGAGCGTCATGCACCAGATAGCAGCTCTTACATAGTATTCACAGATTGAGTGAATCAGAACAGCCTCTTACATAGCGCTCTTTCTTCCTGCCCATGAGAACAGTCTGACTGTGTGTTTGGCCTGTTTTTCACACATTCAAACTGTCTCTCTCACAGAAACACATACAAAGTTGCCTGTCAGTCTTGGAGAAAATAATGCTAATTAAGGTTCCAAGCTGCACTGACACTGTTATTGTTAGGTGGCGTGAAGGCGGACAGCTTACATGCAGCCTAGTGTTCTTGGGGTGTTGTTTGGTGTTCTCACATTCTCAGTAGTAAATGCATGAACAGTCACAATCTCTGGGTTTGTTTGTGCCCCCAGTTTATCTGCAATTAGTAAGGCGTTAGTTAGCTGCAGAGTTAAGTTCAACACACACACACACACATATATATATATATATATATATATATATATATGTATATATGTATGTATGTATGTATGTATGTATTTTATAACATAAAAACACAGTTCAGTAGAATATCCCCTTTTATGTTGCTTTAGTGCATAATCAGTCATAGCAATCGTGCCTTTACCCAGTACATGCTGTTCCTATTACATATACAATGGGGGACTCTTGAATGCCCCAATGGTAGCTAAAGAATGATAACTTGCCCTCTAGGGTGCTAATCTTTAGTGTAAATGCATCACAACTGGTGCCCTTTTTTATTTCTTGCACCTCAAATAGTCTGCCACTGCACATATCTGCAACAGCTTTCACCAACCTTGTATAGGGGAGTTGTGAAAACATAAATCAATACAATGTCAGCTTGTCAGTCAGTTCACCACTTTGGTCCAGACTTCAAATATCTCAACAACTTTTAAATGGATTGCTGTGAAATTTTTTACAGTGATGAATCCTAATGACTTTGGTGATCCCTTGATTTTTCATCGCCATGAGGTTCTGTAGAGAGACATATCTTGACCATTATTGGATGCATTACTATGGAATTTGGTACAGACATTCTTGTTCCACACAGGATGAGCTGTGATAACTCTGGTGGTCCCCTGACCTTTTCTCTAACACCATCACTGGGTCGACATCCTAACTTCCAATCCTTCGGTTTATGACCAAATACTATGTCAGCTGCCTGTACTTAGTGTTTACTGCTAATTAGAAAATTGACAGCATGGTAACCATTCGTGTGTTAGCATTGTCATTGTGAGCATGTTGCCATGCTAGGATTATTATTTAGCCTGAAGCACTCCTGTGCCTCAGTGCAGCCTCACAGAGCTGTTAGTGTGGCTGCAGACTAGAATTGTTCATATTATCAGTTAACTATTTAGTTATTTCCCAACATGAAAGTCTGTTTCAAAGCTCTCTCCACACTGCATTTATGCTGCGTTTATTAGATTAATTTTTTTGTCTTAAAATAGTAGGATTATCCAGCTGAAAAACCATTGGCCAATGTTAGTTAACAGACGAAAGCAGACAGACAGCTGGTACAGGGACACAGGCAGATGCTTGCATACATATGCAGGTGTATGTGACTGAGAGGGGTGAGGTTTTATCTTTCACAGGTTCGGCTCTATCTCACTCTCTGCTGTTAGGGTTTGTGGGAGCCGTTAACGCCCGCAGGGGACTCAGGATAGTGAATCACACTGCTGTGAGGACACAGCAGTGACACAGGGGAAGTGACACCAACTTCATCTCACATCATCCCACTGCCAACACTTGTCCTGTCCTTCAAAGGTCGCTGGATGAATCAACGTTGTGTAAAAGGCCACAGGAAAATCCACTGACTAAGGTCAGTTTTACCTATAGGCTACAGAGGATCAGAGAAAATATTAAAGGCAGCACTGAAGTTTCCCTCTCTAATGCCTTTAGAATATTAAGTAGAAAACCCTTTGATTTTAGCAGTTATTGGGTTCAAATGGAGGGCAGAGAGTAAAAAATGCACATTAGAGACATCTGAGAAAAAAAATGTCATAACAGGTCATATTTTATCACCAGGCAAGAAAATGCGATGTTCTCATTTGCAACTTCTTTCCCTCTCCCTCGTCTAGCACCTTCTCCCCCGATGTACCGCCACTCCCACACATGTCTGGGAGTGTGACTGTCTCCTATGTGTAACACTGGCTAGACGAAAGCCATGTGCCTCAGTGCACCAGATACACAGACAGGCAGATGGCAATAAAGACACATAAAGATGTACTCATAAAAGTAGATATAAATGCAGACCCAGACCCAGACAGAGCTCTGTACGTTTTATAAACTGACATCTTGGTGTTTTCTTTTCACAGAGATGAAAATCTTGCTTGAGGAAAAAGAAGAGAGGCTTTCAAAATGGGAAAAAGAGGCAGATAATGGCAGAGAAGGGAAGTGGAGGAAAGGAGAAAAAGTAGAAGTATAAGGGTTTATAAAAACATGTCAAATTGAGGGAGAGGCACAAGAAATCAAAAGAGAGGTAAAGAGGAACAATAAGACAAAACAATAGGACAGATTGGAGCACAGAAGGCAGAGATGGATTATGCCTGGCAGAGAAGTGGGTGCTTTTCTGGGGGAGCTCTTTATGAAATCTCCCTTACAGCTCACTCTCTGCACTAATGAAATGCTGTAGCTGCTGCATTTTAAATCATCTCATCGACCACTAAAACTGTGCTTTTGAGACTGGAGAAAAAGGAACACAAGGTTACATTTCACATAATGTATATTACAAAATTGGTATACATAATTGCATTCCTACATTCAAATGTGCTCAGTATTTTTCCTCAGTATTATTAGAGTCACATGCAACAACATCGGTTCTATCTTTCCTTGGAAAGTGCTGCCCTCTGCTGTGTAGAATAGCTGCATTGCATAAGAGAAAAAAAATGCCATTAAGAAAACATGTCTCACTCCAATGCCAGCAATTTTATATAACAAAAATTGTTATGTAAGAGAGGAAATACCAAAACTGTACATTACCATACTGTTCCTATATTTCCAACAATTTAACACTCATAGAGGTAAAAGTCAGAACAAAAGAGCATCCACTCTAATCATACAGATTCACTACAGCCCCTCTCCACCACAAACTGGACATTTGGACCTCCATTCTCCTTCAGCTGGGCCTCTTCTTCTTGGCGGCTGCTCTGCTGACTGTGCTGAGCTTTCTTTGAGGCCTGTAATTGTCTCTGGTAGCGTCGATTCTCCTCGGGGTAGGAGACCACAGACAGAGGCAGTCTGCAGATGGCTGGGATCTCAGAGGAAATGAGGAGGAAGATGAGAGTCGACAGGCAGAAAGGCCACGTGCAGGCTGGTAATGCAAGCTGAAAGGGGATGTCATAGGAGAGGAGAGCATGACACATGATATGAGAGACATCTGGGTGTTCAAAGGATGTTTATTGAGTTTGACTCAGGAAGAAAGTTTCTTACTTACCACAGACATCAGTTTGGAGATTGCTGCAGTCATGTAAGCGCAGAAAAATGCTGAAATGAGACATATTTTTTGCATTTTTTTGTGTCTGACCAGCTACCCGAAGAAGGATAGCAATCATGCTGTTCATCAGTCTTACCACATATTAGAGCCAGTAGATGGGTTTGCCATGTTATGACATAGAAGACCCCTCCAACGGCAATGCAGGATAGGGCACTGTTATATCCCCACAGCCCTGAGTAAATATCCTTGTGAGGAGCTGCCAGAGCAAGTCCTGCACCACAGAAGAAGTGTTCAATATTCCCCACAAAATTCATTATTACATAGAAACAACTGCACAAATGTCTGATTTGGAAACTGAGTCAACAAACACAGGCTATGCAGCATTATTTGAGAAAACATGCTGTGGTTCATTCACCATAATGCCATGGTGGCCTTTGAAAAGCCAAAGCTCCCATTGGAGACTCAACAGACATTATGCATATTTCTATGCAAATGGGAAAGTCTTTTTACCAGACAGCATGCCAGCAGCAGAGCCCAACATGGCATGATAACAGATAGTTGGTGAGGAAAGCAGCAGGGCCAGAAGGATGAGACCTCCTGTCCAAGGACTGTCACAGCCGTACACCTGGCCAACACCAACTGGCACTGACAGGAATAACTGAAAATGGAAAGCCCCCATTTACTTATATTTTAAACAATTAGCCTTTATTAATAAAGAAAATGTGTGTGCAATATAGCCACTATAATGATTTGGATTGAGTAGGGTTTCAAGAGCTAGTGGACCAATAATAATTCTGTTATACCTGAGAGATATTGAGGCTTTTGATGGAATCATTAGGAGGGGGCAGATGGTAGTTTGGCTGGATATCCACCTGAATTGTAAAGAAAAAAGTAGGTTACATTTTATTTTTCATCTAAGCACTGTGCAATGTGCATCGTTGTTTGTATAGCTGGCCTGTAATGTACCTCTGGAAAGTAGGAGTGATTGGCTCCCATAGCTGCAACATGCAGACACACCAAAATATTAAAGGGCAGGGTGAATATGGGGAGGTCCCATTTGCTGGCAACTGAGGACAAAGCACCGGAGACCACTGGGCTGTGAACAGAAGCAGGAAATGGATTACTGATTGGGTGCCAAGCATTACATTGGCCAGCTTTTGTGGGATTACAGGTCACATTCACAGCTAGCTCATGTTACTACACTACTGTGTACGGTAACAAGAGTTACCCCATCCAGCTCTTTATTGGATTTGAGGAAGTTTACTTCACCAACCCCTGCTGAACTTGTTAATCGGGATATTACAGGAGCATTACATTTGCAAAACACATCAGTTAGTACCTACACTCAAAGCCTTTTAAAATTGAAACATAGCCTACTGTTTGAAAAGGGCGTTTGCCGTCAGAGCCCTCAAACTGTGCAACAGACTTCCAGAGGAGATCCGGATGTGGTTTTATGGTTTTATCATTTTTTTCCTTCTTATTGTTTTAAAATGATCAGCTGGAGACAGAGTTTTCAAACCAACTAATGTTACCTTAATTAGCTAGCTATGAGCTAATAATGAGATAATTGGGAGGGAGAATAGAGAAATGATTTTCAGATTTTTACTGCATGCTGTTGCCTTTGTGTCTCATCTGTTTATAGTGTGCTGTTACCAATGTGTGTGCAATCAAACGAATCGCTTACCACAACATGGACATGAACACATTTGGCAATAACAGCCACCAGTACCAGCTTCCTTTGGCAGAGAAAACAGCCATCAGTATACCCACCAAGGTTCCATTGTAGCCATATAAACCCGCTGATGCAGCTTCCCTGAGGTGAATGTGACAGATGTAGTCAACATGAGTGCAAAACACAATTAAGTGAGAAACACTGAGAAAATAGCACAGTGTGAAAGCTAAAGTAAGTGTAGCCCCAGGGAATATAAGTGGAAGAGACAGTAATGATGGCTTCATGGTAGGAGGAAAATGTGTTTTTTATTTATTTTTCTAGGATGAAGTCAAATAAGGAAAGGAAATGCCATCTGACCTGTTTTGTCCCAGTAAGATTGCAGACACAGTGGATACAAGGGTACCCAGCAGACCGTTCAGAGCCCACCAAGGGTTCTGGAGAAAGAGGCCAGCCATGATGAGAAACCCACTGAGAGGGTTGTTGACAAACATGACCTGGGCCACCCCTCGAAAAACCCAGTCCAGCAGCTGGATTACTACAGCCTGTCCTGTCATAAATGGATAGTGTTCAGTCATAGTTTTTCATTTTGATGATCTACACAATACAAAAAGGCTTAAATGTCAAACTGACCCAATTTGGAATCATATAATTTTCAGTTTAGTAAGTCAAATTACTACATTTGCCTACTTTTATTCATTCAAATGTAACTGAGATGTGACTTAGAAGATGAGACAGATGATCACCTACTTTTCACCCATTCTCTGCAGGGATGCATGTCCCCGACGAAAAACTCAACAGCTCTAAAGAGAAAGGAGCGAGCTGGAGCTTTACGCAAGGACTGGTTATTGTTGTCCATAGCTGTAAATGGAGTTTATCACAATTGTGATATTTTAATACAGGAGCTGTATGATATGGCCAATTATAAATTAACTGTCCAGACTGAAAAATCTCAACAGCTATTGGATGGATTGCCATTAACTTTGGTACAGATACTCATGGTGCTCAGAGGATGAATGTTAATGACTTTGTTAATCCTCTCACTTTTCCTCTAGTGTTACCAGCAGGTCAAAGTTTTCACGTATCCAGTAAAATATTAAATAACATAATAATATATAACAAATAGATTGGCAACAGTTTCTACAGTCATTCATTATTCACACATAATACATCTTAATCTTTGGTGATACCCTGACATTTGTGTGTTTTGTGTGACATGTTTTTACAGATAGTTTGCCATGAATATTTCATGTCCCCATCATTATGAGAATGTTAGCCTGCTGATGTTAGCAGTACATCCTCACAGAGCTGCTAGCATGGCTGTAGACTCTTGAGAGAGTCTTGTTCTACTTCTACAGCTTTTTGTTTGATGCTCAGCAAACTCCCCTATCACCCAATCTGTATGATAATATCCAAATGTTATTTATGTTCATTTGTGTTTCTGTTATACTATTAATTTAGACACTGATATTGTCATCCACCCTTCCCCTCGCTACTCACAAATTACAGACAACTCGACGCCTCCCTGCAAAAACTAAATCAGTGTGATTCTTCTTTCTCCCTGAGGTGGAAACAACTCCAACAGAGAAGTCTGAGCTGAAATCAAAACCTTATTCTCAGTTTGCCACAGCGTTTTCAGTTCTTTTTTATTTTTATATCTTTTTGAAGGAGTGATCAAAGCAGATTTCCCGAAGAGCTTCCCACTGTTACCATCAACATCCCCAGTCACAGTTCTCTGCATGAAAGCCTGGGTGTGTTTATGTTGCTCAGTGAGTGGCGGACCTCTTGATCTGCCAGCTCTCTTCTGTGCTACAATACTTCTTAAGAATCAACAAATATGGAAGCTACTGAACACAGCTCTGCAGAAACTTGTGATTGAATGTGTGATCAAATAGAAAACAATCCATAACCTCTCTTATGAACTGTTATCTTTCATGTGTCCACAGGTAGTTCAGACCATGAAACTTTTTGTTCTTAACGCCAAAACCCATCATATTTTTATGGCTTTTGTTACTGTTTGCTTCTTTTATTTGAGCACTGCATGCTGTGGCTGTCAAACTGTGGTCACACTTGTTCTTAAATAGGCTACCAGGTGCAGAGTTCAGAGCTTGATAATTTTAGTTAGGATAAAAGAGAGTGGTGAGTAGAGTGGTGGCAGCACCTTGTCTGATTGTCCGCTTTCATGCAAATCAAGTTTTAGTTCAGCTGACAAAAAATAAATAAATCATTCAAAGATAATAAATCAGTACAGTTCTTAAAGGAGTTCTTCCTCCAGACTGAAAGTACAGCAGAGCCAATGAAAGATCTATAAGAACTTAAGTCTGTAAAGACGTTTTATTGACTAGCTGCAAGGGGAAGTGACTGATTTCTGATTTATGGTCAGTTTGATTCATTCATTTAGTAATGCAGAATGGGCAAATGTTGTGCTGTTATTGAATTTAGGCCTACCAGCTGCATTTATTATTTCTGATTAATACCAGTTTTAACAAAATGTGGCAACACTGCTGTTCATTTACAGGTGAGTCATTTAACTTACATAATAAATATTTTAAAAAATGGACGTCTTCTTACCTCTCTGAGTTGAAGATTAATCTCACAGCCCTGTTACCTACCGGCTACTGTACCAGCTAATGAAGGCATACATAAAAGCCAGATATAAAGGAATCTGAATGATGTTATGTAGCCTCTCCTTGCATTAAAGCCTAAAAAGCATTCATGCTAGTTTCTCTTCTGGAGGACCCCTGCCTGGAGCAAGGACCAAAGTCTCTCTATTCATCTCAGCAGCTAATCAGGGAGAAGAATGTTCTTATTAGAAAAGGATTTCCTGCTCAAGCAAAACACTGGCCTTTGTTTCTAGAGGATCCCCCTCTGAGCAAAATGAAAACATTGGAGAGCCAATTTGCTCTTTGTAGCTGAGCTGCCCGTTATTTTTGCTGTTGTGGCAGCATAAATATGAGTAGCACATAATTGCTAAATTTAGACCAACTGAAACCACCATCATGCGAACTTGTATTACTTTTTGCTAGATACGCCTCTGCGGGACAGAGAGATGTGGTGGCCCAGAGTTGTAAAACTCTATGCCCTGTTTCTTGTGATACTGTAGCATCCAAACTTGGTATTGTTGCTTTTGTGCGAAGAGTCTGGCTTGAGTCTTGGAAATTATGAACAAATAAAGGAATAACCAATGGGATACCCTGTGAATAAAAATCTCCACAAATTTCTGAATAATGCGCTGCTTGTCACGTTTGCATGTCCTTTGTTCATGTGAGAGCAACAGCCCCTTTAAAATGTCTGTGCGTGTCGCTGTACACAGTATGTATATGGCTGTATGATGTCTTGTCCTCTGGCATCTTCAACATTGAATTATATGAGAAACACATCTAAACATTAACATTTTAGTAAACAAATAAAATGTATCATCATAATTACACCTTTAAAATCAACATCAACATGAATTTTTATATATTTTAAAGCCCTTTATTTTGACCAGGTTCTCGACTACATAGATATGAAATGATCAATATCTTAAGGAGCAAACAAGGTTACACTGAGCTTTAAATTAATCATCTACAATAAGTGTGACAAAGCACAATCTGAAATTTGAGTCATACAAAACTTGGTTTGTTCATCCTCTCCACAAAAGGAGTAAAAATACCATTGCGATGGTTGAACAAATGCAACCAGTTTATGATCAAAATGTAGAAAACATCAGTATGAGGTTGATCCAACGCAGGTTCTGATTGCACATGTTTATACTACACATAGGCTAAAATCTTCTCAGTTAATACTGTATGGGAGAAAATACAGTTTTTATAATGATGATGAAACCGCAGGGGCCTCTGGTGCTAAAACTATATGCAATGATGGAACTGAAATACTGAATAGTATGTCCATGTTATGTTGAATTACAAGTTCATATGTTATGTTTCTTTTGTTCCTATATCATGTCATGTTGCCTCATGTTTGGTAAAAAAGTTACTGTTAATGACTAAAGGAGGAAGACACAATTGGGTAAAGGAAACAGACAGGATACAGTACAAAACTCGTGGTCATATATGCACAGAAACTACATCAATACACACACAAACATACACTCACACACACACTCACATAAACATACTCTCTCTCTAACACACACACACACACACACACACACACACACACACACACTGAAGCATTCTTTGGAGATCTGGTGGTCATATTTCTGTCTCGACTTTACAGTGAGTCAACGCCGTGCTGAGTGCTGAACTCCTGGAAATCCTCTGGGATTGTGTCTGTGGAAGTGAGAAGTAAGGTGTCATGAGACAAGCTCAGAATCTACAACCAAGTGAGGCCAAACTAATTTTATTCACAGCTGTAGTCTTGTTTATGCAACCACAAGATAAAATGTAAGTATTATTACTGTCCTACTTTTCAGACACAAGTTATGAAGGACACTAAGAAAATAGGTTATGTATTAAATGCTTTGAAAGCAGCACAAAGATAAGTTAAGTGTTCCCTAGCATGTCATCACAGTAATTCAAAATAAGAAATAATGATTTTCTGAAAGATTTTTCATTAAATGTGTCCTTACCATTGCAGCGGTATTTCAGATTGGACCAGATGATGTTTTCTTGAGAGAAACAGAAGACACCAAGTCGTCCTCCTCTCATGGTTGTGTCAATGGTCACGCCAGAGTCGGCCACCAGCTCAGTTCCCTCATAAAATCGAGCCCTAAACAAGACACAAGAAGGGATTTAAAAGGGGTTTAATCTATGTTGTGTGTTCCACTCTATAGTATATAGTTTGAGAAAAATGCTTATTCACTTTCTTGCTTCTTCCCTGTCTGTAGAGCTGCAGCAGCTAGTAGCTTAGCTTAGCATAATGAATGGAAACAGGGGGAAACAGCTAGCCTGGCTCTGGTAAAAGGAACAAAAAAACCCTACCAGCAGCTCTAAATCTAAATAATATATCTATAATACTTATATCTAGTTTATTTGAATAAATAAATAAAAAATATATAATATGTTAATTAGTAAGCTGAACTGTAGAGGGGCTGGTGGATTTTGTTGCCTTCGAACAGAGTCATGTTTCCAGTTTTTATGATAAGATATGCTAACTAGCTGCTGTATCCTCATATTGAACAGAAATATATGAGAGTGAATCAATCAATCTGCTCATCTTGCTCTTTGCAAGAAATGAAAAGGGTCGATTTCCCAAAATGTCGAACTATTCCTTTATCAAGACAAATATGTGGAACAGCTTTTCTCATATATACCTGATGTATCCAACCTGTGGGCGGTGCTGCAGGTACCAGCGGTAGGACACCTTATCCTTCCAGCCTACATTTCTTGGGTCTTTCCACAGCAGACGAACCTGGTCGTTGGTGTCTCCAGTGTGCCACAGTGAGTTTCTCAAGTGCTCCCCGGGGCCTGATCTAGACTTCACAGCCTGACGAACAGAGACACGGAGAGAAGTGAGACGGGTGTGGAAAATATGTCAAAGGATAAAAATAGGATGAGTATGAATCTGCTGCTGGGGGATTTGTGACATGACTTGTACTTTTCACCTTAAGCTGGATGCCGGGCTCGGCCACAGCTCTGAAGGGTGTTGCCTGCCAGTAGGTCTGCTCAGTCTGCTTCCACATCACCACGTAGAAAGAGGATGAGTCCTGGTAGCCAAAGATGAAGCCAGCGTAGTCGTCGTCAGTCACTGTATTTACGTGAAATGTGCCCTCGAAGTCTACTCCACTGAAAGCAGTGTAACCTATAGACAGATAATGTAATCAGTATGTTATTTATGTTCAGAATGGACTTTTTTTGAGAACATTGTGTGACTGATCTTTCGACTTAGAGGAAATACGTCTTACCAACAGCCAATCCTGGGTCACTATTCATGGTCTGAACAATTTCCATTCCCTGCGCGAGAAAGAGTTGTTAATAAGGAATTTTGCATTTTGATCCTTTTATGTGCTAAAGTCTCATTAAGCTATTAATTGCAACTTAGGTGTATGAGAATTTATTTTGCATGCACTGTGTTTAGTTGTTAGCAGTGGATTAAATCTGCAGTAACTTTGGCCGCTTGGGGGCAGCGGAAATATCATCAGCTGCAGATTCAGGACATAATTCTCTGTAGGTTCATCACTCTTAACCCCTCACTTTAATTTAATCCATTAACAGTTATCTCACCTGGTTCAAAACAACCCAGTTGGGATCAATCTGGGCGTCCCCCTCAGGGTCCAGCACAACCGTCTGGTAGGCCCTGAAGTCAGTCAAGGTCACCTCGGCATTCTCAGGACAGTTGTCTATCCTGTCAATCACTTTGTCCTGGTCGAAGTCAGACTCACACACGTCTCCAACTCCATCATCTGAGGGACAGCAGAGGGGGGATTTAGTCTTAAATTAAAGTTAAAAAGACAGTTGATTGCTATTTCATGATCAAGGCGCAGACACTTGTTAAAAGTAAGTTTTTGATTACAGACAATAGCCTAGATTGCGTTGCGTCAATTATGCAAAGTGATCCGCTCCTTTTATTCCCTTTAAAACCAGCGTGTTTCCTGCCTTGTCACAATGAGGAGATTTTAGACTCGCTTCAACAAAATTGTCAAAAAGGCCTGCCTCCAAAGAAAATTGATGTCCTTTTTAAGACTCTGCAGAGCTGCGAGGCCTGAATATAAAACATCTCAAATATGCTGCCGAAGTGCAAAAAAATGTCCTTCCTCACGGGGCTATTCAAATTTTAACAAAAGAATAAGAATGAATGTTGCATTTGTTTAATTTTGATGGATTGAGTAGAAGCTCTTTTCGCCACCCTGCTGTGACAGAGAAGTGTTGGCAGAATTAGAAATTACTCAGCTGCATTTGGCATGCTAAAAAGAGCTGCACTGTTATTTCTCTAGCACATTTGTTGTATGTTGGAGTCATGATACGCTATTAAAGGTCAAGTGTGGCAGATTTAGGAGAATCTATTGGCAGAAATGGAATGAAATATTCATAGATATGTTTTCGGTCGCCTTCAATAGAGTCCGCCATGTTGAACTGCCATGTTTCTACAATAGCCCAGAAGGGACAAAGCTCCAGATAGGGGAGTTCACGCTTTTTCGTGGCCACCATAGTATGACGTTAGCACTTGGAATGGGAGGGTGAAGCAAGGAAGTTGCAATCTGGAATTACACAATGCAACTAAATCCTAGACGCTGGACTAAGACTAACACTAAGACTGTGTATGTACTACAGCTACTATAAAGATCACAAACTCAGTGGTTCCTGTAATCATTTTGTGCTATTGTTGCTTAATTGGAATGTCTTATACAATGTGGTTGATGTTTTAATCTCCAAAACAGGTGAATAAATGTTTTGTTCTTGTATATTCCAAACTGGTAGGTATATATGGGTAAAAACGCCATGTCTACATAGTGCTTATAAGCACAAATAAAGATTGTTAGGGACACCCTGAAGGTCTCTCTGCTCTACACCCCTGAACTCCCTGACTGCCAACAACAACTGCCTTGCCGCACTTGATTTCAATTGACACTCCACTCCCGCTGACTTTGGAGCCCATTTTTACACAAGTACTGTCACAAATGGGTGCAGGTGCAGGTGCTTTTA